CTTATTTGTAATGAATACCAGAGGTCCTCACGGTTTTAAGGACTGGTGATAAGTGCTCTTGATTGGCACCAATGCCAACTCAGAAACCATGGTAGTCCTCAACACAAAAGCTACTTTTTATGTATATTAATGAAACAACAGCAGGCATACTGTATTCAGCTCCATTTAAAAGGGCTCCACGAAGGAAGATGAAAATACACAATTATCTCTTTTTGTCGGAGACTGGTGTGTCCATGCTTACAGACTTAGCACAGTCCTGGAAAACAATAAAAATATTCCACATGAAACTGGAAGAACGTTTTTTTTTCTTTTACAGTATATTAAAGGAATTTTCTGCAATAGCTGAACACTTCTTGATGGATAAAAAGTCTGTTGTGATGATAATATTATTCCAAATGCATCATGAAAATTGCACCTTGGTAAGTATTTGAATAATGAAAGGATCCTATGTTATTCTAATTCATAGAATTAAGCCATATTTATTAAGATCATACACAATGCTGGGCTAACTTAAGCCAGACATTTATATTTTGGTAGACAAAATCAGAAACAAGTGTTTAATTTTTAAATATTAAAGAAAAATTACAAAAGTTTGATCTTTGTAAATTGATACATTGCCTGCTATCACCAGACTAGGTGTGATTCATTTCATGGGACATCAGGGGTGTGCTTTATACTTTAATATATAAATACAATAATCTAATAATATAAAATTAGAAACTTTTTTATTTTCTAAAAAATTACTTAGTTAAACTGTCTTCCAATTGCAATTAAATATTTAAGAGCTCCTTCTTGCTATAGGCAAAGGACAGAATCATAAAAGGTCAAAATCCACGAAATAAGGGGAAACCCGGATGTTTCAGTTCCTGTAAATCTGTGGATTTCCTTCTTGACTGTGTTTCTTTACAGATGCATGTATGCCTATGCATTTCCAGGTTTATTCAGAATAAGAGTGCAGCTTTACAGATCTAGAAACTGATAATTATCAGAGGAGATGATCTAATTGGTAAAGAAGAGGGGGTTAATTAAATAAGATGTCAAATGAAATGAAGCAAAAGCTATTGAAACATGGGACAGGGAATGCCAGATGCCCTATAATCCAACAGAGAAACCATCAGCACCAATATTATTTTTATACTAGAGCAATTATCTACAGAGGGGATCCAATCACAGCACCCCCTGCACTTCATGATGCTATTCATTTAAAAGGTTAAAAAACAGCTGTCGTTATTGTTGATTGCATGGAATGTTTATCTGCATTTAGAATTGAGTACAAATTGGCTTTGGGGCCTCTTTAAACACTGCGTCTTATCGGCCTTACAATTATTTCCCATAAATGAAATCACCATGTAAAAATTTGTTTGAATCGAAATTGATTTTGGAAATTGTTTCCATGAAATCAAGAAAAGGAGAGGGCTAGCTGGCAGTGATAGGCTCATGTCATCTGTCTTTACAATTTATAACAGCTCCCCAGGTGGCAATCTCAGGGCTAAAAAAATGAATCTGTCTGTAATTACAAAGTGTGGAATACCACTTGGAGAAAGCTCCAATTGGACATCTGTGAATGACTGTTCATAACTGGAAGTTCACACATCCACACACACATCACACATTCGTCTTTCCAGTCCATTGAAACAATTGGTGTATAACATCTGAATTTCCTTTCTGATCATTTCATAAACAGGGAGGATGAATTATTATTATCCACAATATATGGCAGAAGAATTCTAGAATAGTTAATGCGATCTTAGAAAAGGCACATATTGTTAAGCTAAACAGCTTTCTTTAAACAAGCAACTGAAGGAGTTTGTCACGATCGTAATCCCTCCTCTTAAGGGCGCTCCTGCTTTTTCACATTTTAGTTGATTATGTGCACCTGCCTCCTATCCTGCTCCTCCTTATTTAAGCCAGAAGCTCTTACTATTCTGGGCTCAGCATTGGAAGATGGACCTTCCCAGAAGCCCGTCTACCAGCGGGTACTGGAGTGACCCAACAGCATAGGCTTCACCACAGCGTCCTGACCATCTGGGTCTGTGGCACAGAGCGCCTGGCCTTGTTTACCCCTTTTTTTCCCCCATCCCTGCACCAGATCCAGTTCCGGTTTTAAAACCTTGTCTTGTTTTTGTCTTGGATGGATCACCCGGCTCTGGACTCTCGGACTTCACCCTGGATTCCCTATGGACTCCCTTGGACTAGTTCGCCATGGGCACCCCCTCCCCCGGGCACCAGTTCACTGTCGTCACGCCCCCCTGTCTGTCAACCTGCCCAGTTCCTCGTTGTCTCCTCCCTGTGTCCATTTCCACTTACTTCCGGATAATACCATCTGCATAGGGTCCTGTACAATGCATTATTACAGAGCTGACACCAACACAGTGCATATCTTGTTTACATTTCCAAATGACTGTTGACGTGGTTCCGCTAAAATATCAAATTCAAGGTTACTTAAATGGCAGGAATCTCAAGTTAGAGTGCAAGGATCTTAGCAGTACCATAACATCTATCAATTTTCTAACCACATTATCCAAACTAGGATCATGGGGGAGCCAGAGCCAGTCCTGATAAGCAAATCTTCCAAGGATACACCTTGAACGGGATGCCAGGCCATCACAATAAACACACAGACACAAACACACTCACTCAGCAGGGACAGTGTTTTACAGAAGTCAATTAACCTTCCAGCATGTCTTTGTGTCACAGGTGCCGGTCCAGGCTCCCGTGAAGTGTGTGGTTTAAGACCCTTTGCAGACGGTATAATCAAGATGTAACTGGAAAAGGACAACTGGGAAAACACGATGAGGATCAGGACAGGATGACAGACAGGGCAGCGTGACAATGGTGATCCAGTGCTCGGGGGGTGTGGCGCAGGCGAACAAGTCCAAACAGTTCAAAAGGGAAACTGGAGCGCAGTCCAGGGTCCAGGTGTTGGGAGAACCATCCAAGACGGACAAGGTTAAAATCCGGAACAGGAACAGGGAGTAAAAAACAGGATAACGAGGCCAGGCGCTTAGAGCCCCGGACTCAGACGGTCAGGACACCGGGGAATAAGACCAGCCCTTGGGCTACCCGTGAGCCTGGGAAATAGGCAAGCCTTGTGGCATCCATCTTCCAGTGCTGTGTGAGGAATAGCGGGAGTGCCTGGCTTAAATAATAACAGGCAAAACAGGGGGCAGATGCACATAATAAACTAAAATCCGAGAGGGTCGGAGCACCCTTAAGAGGAGGGATGACGATCGAGGCACTTTGGACTGTGGGAGGAAACTGGAGCACCCAGAGGAAACCCACACACACATGGGGACAACATACAAACTGCACTCCAGGAGAGCACCCCAGGTCCAGAACTGAACCCAGGGCCCCAGTGTTCTGAGGCACCAATGTTAACCATTGTGTTATTAATCAATGTTAACAAGTGTAAATTATTACAAGGAGGTAGGAACTACATTACAACCATAAGATGGATGGCTCTGGCCATGAAAATTCAACTTACTGTAGGAGAACTTAGGATTTGAGTGTACATGTTAACAGATACAATAATTGTTCTTCTATAGTAAATATGGGGACATGTTAAAACTTTGAGAAAACTTTGATTGACATTAAGACATTATGTGGGCAATGCTGGACAACATCAAGACAGTAGTGGTGCAAGTACTGTATGTTCAGGACAAATATTGCCTTTAAAAATCACTGTGGTGGTAGCTGCGAAATTGAATGATATAAACAATTTACTATAGTACGCTGGCCCTAATTCTATTACACCATGTCACAATATGTCCTTTAATGGAATAGAAAATGTGAAGTTTTTATTATTCACCTTGTTTTAAGTAAATCTTAGAGTTGTGCTCATATAAGTAATGGGAACCACTGGTAAAGCTATGAAACTATACTTTTTACATTTATCACTTAATTTACAGTATTTGCCAAAGCAATTTTCATTGTAACGGTTATTTTATAACGGGCTCCACTGCAACGATCGTAAAATGGGCTTATTTTAAAGGAAAAAGATATAAAGAAACACAGGATTGTCCCATCTGAGAAACAGGTTCACATAATCCATGCTACATTACTTTGACGAAATTAGTTTTAATTGAAATAAATATACGATGTGGAATTAATATAAGTGTGGGAAAATGTTTTTTGTTGGTTCATTAGAAATTTCTGAGAACAGACTAAGAAGCCTTTGTTAAGACTGAGAAAATCGTGGAAGAAAGCACTTGCGCAATGTCCCGTCACTACGCTTCAACTTAGCGCTGGTATTTCAGCACCACGGCCAGCTCCAGCAGTAGGAGAAACTTGGAAAAACCCAAAAGCAATATGTGTCATACATAATACGTTAGCATAAGAATTCCAGATACATTATAGATATTCTCCCTAATGCTTGATATGTGATATTTATTCAGGAATGATAGCTCAAAATTCGCTGTTTCCAAGGTGATGTGACAAGCCGTGAAACGGAGTAACATGCTCACTTTCAAAAATACTACATTGTGTTCTGTGGTCAAAACAATTTTTAAAATGGAAGATATACTGTACAGTACACTATATAGATGGCAGCTGTCTTCTAATAAAAAAAAAAAACAAGCCGAGTCTTGATATACACTAATTTGATTTCCATCCTTTTTGTCGTGAATACTTCACAGGCATTTATGATCACTGGATCACTGCGGATAAGGATCCAAAACGTTAAAAAATAGATTTTTTATGTCATGGGCTGTTATACAGTCCACAGACTAAGTGGCTAAGGTAGGCGCACGTGTGTCGTGGAAACATATAATCGGAACACAGAATTATGAGATAAAAAAAACGTTACCAGTAAAGAGTATTTAACACGCTATTAATTCTGTTCTACTGTATATTCTGCGGCTGTAATCCTAATATCATTTTGCTTCTATTGCTTTATTCTTACCTTAATTCTGAAGCTAAAATACCCATCCTCACATTTCTACCAACTAGCTGTTCAGCAAAGTGGATTGTTCACTTCACTCCCTGGGATACATTTATTGATTGCATTCTCCCTATGCTCTTCTCTCTCCCTCCCTCTCTGCCTCTCTCACTCACTGCTGGTGTTCTGTTCCTTCTTGTAGTACTGCAGAGGCTGAAGTGCAACGTCAAAATATTCTCCGGTAGTTACTACATCAGTTTCTGTGATATTATTGTGGGATATCAGATATATTCAATCCAAGACACCAACTGCTAATTTTGTGCGATGGTATCTGCTTTGAACAGTCCATCCTGCTAATCGGGTAAGGGGAGATTTTTCTTTTTCTATGAATAAAGTAGAATGGAAGATTTTCACAATCTCTGGTTAAGATATTTTACCTGCATTATAACCAAATAATAAAAGTGCAATTATTCTGAATGGTATGTTTGCGTGGAGTGCCTTTTTGGTAAAGAGAACTGGTAGAATTTTAACGTCCACAAAGAAGTTTATTTTGTATATCGCGGAGAGCAGGGGACTTTTTATCTGCATTATGCCATACATTTAATGCACTTAAAAACGCTTCAACATGTGCTCGCAACTTCAGTCTGGTTCGTCCTGTTAAGTACAGATAACTTTTAGAAAGAAAAAAGACTGTTTCGACATTGTACACATTGCTTATAATATGCAGTACATGTTTAAGCATATAGTTGGTACTGTAACACTTTTCATCCTTTTGAAAGTTTACTGGAGTGTTTGATAGAGTTGATAAAATAATTATCGAAATAAGAAAGTTTTCTAGAAATTAATTGCGCAAAATTTCATTTTATCGCATAAATACAATTATTATAGTAAAATTATTCACTCATGCGAAGGAAGAAACTGATGCAGCGAATGAGCAGTGCAAGTAACAGTAGTAAAATCAATTTTGCAAAGACATCTTTCCCCATACTAATACTTAGAAGCAGTTCTCATTTTAAAGCAAGGATTTGAAAACCAAGAAAAAAGTTATTTGTCGAGGCTTAATTTCACTTGAACTGCATGTCTTGCACAAAACAATGTACAGTATAAGGTGTTACGATTGCTGTTGAAAGACAAGGTTTTTCATGTACTGTATGTCTCCGTGTTTCTAACAGTATAAAAATACTTGTGCCATACGTTAACAGAGGTCAATCAGATATGGGGACTAGTAATCAAGGAAGGCATCGGTTAACTACTCCAGCAACGCTGTGGTGCAAAATTTGTATTACAGTCATTTGCTTCAGGCGCACAAAGCACTCTGCATTACGCAAAAAGATCCATCTATTTAAGTGGAGCTCGATGCTGCGGGTACTGAGTCATCTTGGGATTGCAGTTTCACAAAGGAGGGGATTGATTCCAAAGCACAATGTCAGGGCACCAGAAATCTTATTACAAAAGGCAGATTGCGTCAGACTTCAACCTGTGATTAATGTCATTTTGGTTCTTACAAACAGTATTAGACTGATGACTTTTTGGAAAGGGCTTACGCAGAGGGTAAATCCACAGTGCGTGAAATGACCGATGCATGTGATCTGAGCAAGGGAGTTATTGCAGAGAACATGGAATCTTCTTAACTACATTTCACTCCTGTGTAAATAACGATCCTGGAAAAATTAGCCAGCCGTACAATTGTGTTTAAATAAAAGACACCGACTTAAAGAAAATTAAGAACAAAAGCGTTCTTAAATTGCTAAGAAATGTAACACATTAACGAGAAAAGATGTCTTTTAAAGCAAACTAAAAAAAAACCTTGCACTTCAGAATAAATCATTAAATTAAACTATGTTTTTCGGTGGAAATACCAACTGTACAGTATATACAAGACACTTTCATTTAATATTTAGGCAAAAACAACATAAAATACTCATGTAAATATGTTTAAATATATTGAATGATTCTTTTATTGTGACTGCTGCTAAGTCATGAAACATACTTTTATTTTTTTTGCGATTTCATTTCATTTTAATTGAATCTCTAGGCATTATATACTTTAGATGGAAATCTTTTAATTCTTATTCTTATTCAGGTCTTGAATCAATTTAGGGAATGCAGGATTTTTGTATTTAACTAAAACTCAGTCCTCCTATGAATGTGCATCAATTAATTAAGCTCTTATTGATTTTTATTAATAAAGTCGAACTAAAATTAAGTTAATGGCCTCTTCAAGATTGAAAACAGAGCTGCTGTTTAGAAAGTGTTTAATATAGCCATTCAGTATTAGCATTTCAAACATTTTTAAAAATGTGTCAATAACCTATAAAAGCTGTTATTTTTGAGTGAATAACACAACCCAATGTATACTCAATGAGTTTGTGAAGTCTTAAAATCAGTTCACTAACAACTATTTTACATTCCATGTACAGTACTGCCTTACCATGCCTTGCACAAGACAAGATGGCGTACTGAGTACATTCTCTTATTCATCACTGATGTGGTTTTTCCATATTAATACCAATATTGATATAGATCATATTGATATGAATAAAGAAAAACCGAACATTTGCAACCATAAAACTCTCATCTTTCATGTTGTTTTAAAATTAACTTACTTATTATTTAATTTACATCTAAACTCCCCAATGCACCTTTGGAAAAACACTTTTCCTACTGAAAAGCACAAGAACCTGAAACCATAAGAAAGGTGACTAATGGACCAGGGCATTTAGCCCATCTTGATTTCTTTGCTGCTGTGTGCGTGTTATATTCAGTTATGTTCCCATAATGATGTCGCTAAAGTGGACTGGTGAGATCATCTAATGACAATAAATGATATTTTGAGCATTGGAAAACAACTGGATTATAGCTCAAATAATAAAGTATAAGATGGGAGTTAATGAGTCTTGAATTAATAAGATGAAATAATCAATTAAGATAAAAATACATATACCAATTTCATTAACATGCTTGGTGCATCTTCTTAAACTCCAAAATTTATCCAATAACTATGTTGTCAAATGGGTGATTTGTCTTAAGCTCTCATGACTCTTAGAGTAAAAAAAAATGGCACTTTCAGGTCTAAAATGTGTCTCCTCCTAAAATGCATTTCAAAGATGGGCATGAAGTAGTGACATGAAGTGACTTATTCTTGAATGCTTGAATGAAAGCTCTTCACACCTGCCCCTGTTAAAGATAAAGGAGATAAGGTTTCTTCAACCTGTTTATAATATTCATTTGACCTCAGAATTATCATGGTTACTTATCTATACATTCCTTGCAAGGGAGCAAAAAAAGACCTTGTAGTGTTCTGACCAAAGCTGAACAGGATTTTTATGAATGACTAAGGAATCAATGAATGACTCTACCACAAATAAAGCAATGTTTTGCTTTGTGTTAGATTCTGCACTTTTCAATACATACTTGTATGCAAGGACATTTTCATAATTTCTTCTTATTGTGTAAGGGACAATGATGAATCACAATAAGTATGTAAACTGTTTTCAGAGGCTGCTGTTTTAATTTAGTAAAACCTATTTTGCACATTGTTGTATTCATGCTACTGTACCCATACTGTACAGTATGTAGCACTTTTCAATATTGGAATTAATTTGCTAAATGTGTCTCTAATTTTTAGGTCCTTTTGTATTTTCTTTTTTGCTAATACTGCATCTGCTGCATCCTTAACCAGGATAAGCAGTCTGGTCCCCCTGTTTATATAACGTTTATAAAATGATCAAAGTTACTAACCACCTGAGTGGCTCAGAAAGCAAGTTCACATGCTCAGCTCTATGACCCTGAGACTGATGGTTCGAGACAAGACTATGATATTGGAGTGCAAAAGCTCTATACAACTAACTGAGTACTGTTGAAGACTGGAGTGCTTGAGTAAGCTTGGGAGTTCCACAGCTTCCTGCACAGCAATGTTTCCTGTGACCTACTGTGGCCATTTAAGAGCTTGCAGTAGGACAGTCACAGATGCACTTTTCCTCTAGGTAGTGCAAGATACTGTGCAGCTTGTACTGTGTCAGAAGAATGTTTTCATTTTCCCCATGAGAGCTTTTAGGTTCACAATACTAAAAATAGAAACAACTGTAAGCTCAAAATTTGGATTTGAAAACAAGAAAAATATTACTTATCAAAAAAACAGGTATGTTGTGATTCTATATCTAGATTACTGATAGAAATCAGAAAGAGCAGTGGGCCCAAGACAGATCCATGTGGCACACCTCTGTTTCTACTCACTTATTAACAAATTCTCAGTCCATGCACACACATGGTCTTGGATGTCTCACATCTTTTAATTGTATTTTTTTACATGCAAGATCTTTCTACTTAATAATACTGTTAACGTGGATTATGCTGTATATTAGCTGCTTCTCAGTCTTCATACCTTTATATACTGTAGTACATCCTACTGATTTACATTTTCCTGGTTCAGTTTTGTTCCCTTTTCTGTTTAAGTATATTTCATTTACATTTATCCATTCACTGGAAGCAACTTTTTTAAAATTTAGTTCAGAGATCATAATCAGTGGTATCTCTTTTTCAAAAATATATCAAAAGTAGTCAATTAAATACAACCAGAAATCTGTACTGAAGTTTCTGCCAGTTTATTCATTTCAGTTATCCAATACAAAGAAATATTTCACTTTCAATTACTCTATGTTAAGCTTATTGAAAGCAGAGTAAGGTCTATCTTTAACCCGGGCATGGTTTTGATTCTTCTTTTGATTTAGTCATCAAAGCCTATTATATTATAATATACAGTATATAAACATATTTGTTAAAAAATCTTAAAACATGTAGGCCCAGAAAAAGATAGCTCAAATGGTTTTATAGATCAGTACAAAACAATTTAGGAGAAGTCCAGCACATACAGTATGTGGTGTGTGTAAAATGATTGTTGCTGACGGAAACAGAAAGAAAGGAAATCAAGAAACTAAACTACAAACTCATGCAAGAAACAATAAAGGAAATGTCGAAAAAGGAAATAAACATGCTATTCTATATCAAAACAATACAAGGGATTTTGTTCAGTACAGCCCCAAAACAGCAAGCAACAGTAAACACTGGAAACAACAACAGCGGGCTAATTGTCGACCATTAAAGGTAAATAGTAGAAGTATCAGAATTTGACAATGTTTTAATGATTGGAATGTACAGTATTACTGTCTTTTTGTAGTTGGAATAGAATGTCATATCCATTGGACTCCTGTCTACTATTTGCAAGCTTTATTTCATACTGTAATAGTCTGCATCTTCTGAAAACAATCTTGAGACTCTACCACATATCTATTAGATTTTTACAATACACTTGTTGTTGAAAATGTTGCAGATCTCTAGTGATTTTCTTAATTCTGTTCCCCT